CAAAATTATCAAGAAATCTCGTATTCCGAGATCATCGAAAATATCAGACCCCAATACCCAACCCAGAACAAGACAAAATTATCGTAGAAGATATCGGACCCCCTTACCCAACATAAAGAGTAATGAAATTCTTGCAAAACCTCGTGCGGAAAGATATCGAGCCATCAGATCCAATATAGAGGAGAAATAAATTAATTCAAAATCTTGTGTATCGAGACCGAGGATATCGAGACCCCCCACCTAATATAGAGCAGATTTCACGAAATCTCGTGCATCAAACTCGAAGATATCGGATCCCAATATAGAGTAGAAAAAACAATTGATCCCAAATCTCGTGCGCCGAAACCGAAAATATCAGATCCCCCATATTCAATGTAGAACAAAATAAAATTATCACGAAATCTCGCGCGTCGAGACTAAAGAAGAAAAATCACCAAGACCTTGAACGGTTTATTATTTGACGACTTTCAAATATTCATTCAACATTTCATATCAAATCATTGCGTCTAATTCATTCCCAAATTGAATTATTCCACCAAAAGACTTCATATCCCTAAAGATAGTTCTTATCATAATTTCGTAAGATAATTATCATTTCGAGATGAATTATGAATTCAACTATTTCATAGAGATACTAAACTAATGAATAATTCCGATACTAGAGGGGACCCATCGATTCCATCGACGACATATCCGCCCACTAAGTAGAAATAGATAAACGCTAAAATCCTGAAGAAGTGCGGACAAATAAAATATTCAAATATTTTCGGAATCTCTAAAAAGATATCTATGAATCTGACACGTGAGCGTCATCCTCAATGAACCACAAGACTTACAAATTACCTTACCAGGGTCCCTCCTTTCATTTCTTAATTGTAGATCCGAAACCCTTAATCCCAAATGCCTCGGTATCCACTTCTTTCTATGAATCACCACATATAATATCATTGTGACCTTAATTTCTCAAAATATGGGTTTAGGGTCCCGCGTAGTCGAGTTTAGGGCTTAAAGAAACTCTAAACCTAAGCCCCCGACCACGCCGCACCCCATAGCCCAAAATATTATGAATTCCCCTTTTCTCTTAGATGACATTCTAAATTCTTGCGCCAAATCTACGATCGTAGAGTTCTCTTACGCCACCTTACGCCATATTAATAAATAACCATATCGACAAACATGCCAACAATAAAATGTAATATCGACAAAAAGAATTCTGCTCCCAAGAATATCAATTAAGAAAAGAGACCTAATATTAGAAATACTAATTAAATAATATATCCAAAGATTTTATGAAATTATCGAAATACTAGAGCTGACCCGCTGCTTCCAACAGCGGCACGCAAGACGACGACGACGGCACACGACGCACGACGACATGTGTTTTGCTGCATAGAGCCTGCTTGACCATGACAATCGCTCGGTTTCATACAATAGGAACACGGGTATCCATCAACAAAGCTTCCAATATAAGAAGCATAAGAAGACCGCATCCGTTCTCTATGTATTGCGCTACGTAGAGCTTGCTTGACCATGACAGATATTTTGTTTCATATAGCAAAAGCACGGGCATCCAAGATAAGAAGATTGACTATATTACGTACAGATGAGGTGATCATAATACACGTTCTGTTTCATAGACACGGGCATCCAAGATAAGAAGGGTTCATCCATTTCCTAAATTTCATTCTGATCTGCACGATCTTCGTGGATTTTCGAAATCCTCGAGCATCTATAAATGATGCTTTTGGACGTAGATGTCGCTCGCACCTGAAATGAAATTTATAGTATAAGCGGCTAACATAAATTTTCTGAAAATTTTGGGCGTATAAATGTTTCTGAAATTTAGGAAAATAATGAAGCAAATTTTCCGGAAATTTAGAGACCGAAGTTTCGGGTTGCCCAGAACCGGAAATTTCCGTAAAATTTTAGGATTAGAATACTCCGACGTGTAACGTACCGCATAAGACTAAATTAACCGTAGCGTTTTATAGAGTCGACGTACGACGCACGACGCAAAATAACGACGACAATGCGCGACGACGCCGACGACGACGCGCGCGACGACGCGCGCGACGACGACGACGACGACGACGACGCATCACGACGACGACACGCGACGACGACTTCGCACGACGACGACGACGCCACACACGACGCACGACGCGCGAGACGTGCGACGCCCGAAGCACGACGCACGACGACGCCGACGATGCCCGATAACGACGACGACACCCGACGCCGACGCCCGACGCCCGACGAAAGACGCCCGACGCCCCAACGCCCGACGCACGACGCAAGACGCACGACCCACGACGCGCGACGCGCGACGCACGACGACGACGCCCGACGACGACGACGACGACACCCGACGACGACCACGACGACGACGACGATGACGACGACGACGAACGACGCACGACGCACGACGCACGACCCACGACGCACGACGCACGACGCACGACGGACGACGCACGACGGACGACGCACGACGGACGACGCACGACGCACGAGCACGACGACGACGACGACGACGACGACGACGCACGACGACGACGACGACCTGGTAATGCCAGGTAATGCGCTTTGTAATGCCATAAAACAAAGCACGCTCGTAATTTCCTGGTAATGCCAGGTGATGCGCTCATCTTGGAAGTGAAGTAAAAGTCCTGTTTAATATTTTTGCTTTGTAATGCCACAAAACAAAGCACGATTGAAAACAATGAAAGCATGCAATGAAAGCATGCAGCAACATGGCAAATGATCAACACCTGAACTCAACGGTTCAAGCAGTCAACAATGCTTCGACATTTTCGGCCACCCAGCACCCTAAATTTTCCGGAAATTTAGGGAGCTGGGCCGTGGCTTCTGAACATGATCAGGCTGCATCCGTTTCCTAAATTTCCTGAAAATTTTGGGTGTGTAAATTTTCGGAAAATTTAGGAAAGCGATGAAGCAAATTTTCCGGAAATTTAGGGACCGAGGCTTCGGGCTACCCGGAACCAGAAATTTTCCAGAAATTTAGGGGAGCGAATCCGGCTTGCGGCCGTCGAAGAGGCCCAGCCTTTCAAAGGGTACACAGCCCAAGCCCCAAAATTTCCCGGAAATTTTGGGTCCCGGGTAGGCCAAAGCAGCTTGCTCGCCGGGGTCCAGAAATTTCCGGAAAATTTTGGGGCTGGGGCACTCCGAGGCATGACGCACCGCATAGGGCTGGTTTGACCGTAGCGTTTTATAGAGTAGATTTATCAATCTCAGAAAAGAAAGAAATCATTTATACTAAGAAATCACCCAATACAATCCCATAAAAAAATATGAAAAAAAATCTTATTCCTTCAAATAGCAAGATAATGAGAATATTCATTTCGAATATTTTTTCTTCTCAATTCAATTCGAAATAGAAAAAAACCATATATTTTCTAAATTCCAAAAAGTTCATCTTTAATATAAATTGCCAATCTGAATATTCCTTTTTGAATTTGCGAAAATTCTATCTCAATTCCATTGCAATTCTTATAAAAATCATAGATCATTTCAATGAATTGAACCAATTTCGATTATTCTAAATCATACATTATAATAAATACAAAAAGATTACCAACCTATCATAAATTCCATATCAATAAGCTCCATTATAAAATTCATTCTCCTTCCTATCAATATCGTAACCCAATTATTATACGAAATTCTCATTCTTTCATAACAATCTTAGTATTTCTATCTGGGAAATATTCATCATGAATTTTTCGAAATAATATATTATGGAAATTTGTAACCCGAGAAGGAAGATTAGATTTTAGCAAAATTCATCAGCAACCTCGATATTATGATTCTAAATTACGCCGTGAAATCCACAAAACCCTGAATATTTAATTTCATGGCTTCTCCTAGAAGAGTTATTTCGTTCATGCGATTCTTGCGTATTGGCCACTGCTTGGCAGTTGACAAGTAACAATCTCGTGGAGAGGAGGGCATGATATCCCTCCCCCAAACCGACAGGTCACAATTTTCTCGCGAGACCAGTCAGCGCAAGGACAGCCTTGAAAAGTTCTTCGACAGGTGCTTCGAGGGTGCAATTGCTGTCAATGATTGCTTCAGGTAGGCTTTTGTGCCATCCGCTAGCCTCTCCTGTAACAGGAGAGTTGAAACGTGTGAGACTGATTACACAGATGAAACATAGGACACAAGAATGTGCCAGGACACCAGAGTTCACCAGCACTCTTGATTGGAGCCACAGCGCAGCAGCCTGAGACGCAGAAGCAATCGGGCTCGTGAAGTGGACTCGAAAGAAGCACATATATCATATGCGTGAAAAGAGTGCCGCGATGCTCCATCTAGAAGTGCTACGGACATGACGTCGGTCGAAGGCTCCCCTCAGCAGATGTGCACTATGATGCCACCATGCGGCATGAATAACTGCAACTGTGGGAAATCAAAGCCGGAGCACAGCTGGCTTCTTGCGCTATGCATATGGAGCACACGCAGTGGACATAGCAGCCCACACAATCCCGCACAAATTACGAACGTGGTCGCTCTTGGGGCTTCTGACACCGTTGGCGCCTAGTTCTGATGGCGGCATCATAACCGAACACGTAAATTGAAAGACCGTACCAAGCACACTTGTGAGGACGGGGTAGAACTGCAAGGCAAAGCCAACGCCGACTTAAGGGAACGAGGCTGGAATGGCTCCACGCCTACTTCTGACAGTTGAAAATGTGAGAGCAGTTATGAGCAGCTCAACTCAAAAGGAAAACAAGTCCGGCAGATTCTAGGCCAACGCCTACATCGCCTATATCTCGGAGAGCTGAGAGACGGAGCAGCCCCACTCCAAAGAAAAAACATTAACAAAACAGACTCCGGCAATTCCCTGTCCGACTTCTTGCAGTGAGCACTTCCATGGGACCTAGTGGGAACATTGGTGAACCCCCAAGCAAGCAAAAGCCTGAAAAGCCAAGATCCTGCAGCCACCACCGTGCAAGCCGGCAAAAAGTTGAAGCCAAGGAACGTCAGCGGCGGCGGCGGGCCCAGAGAAGCTCCTTCGCCAGCTTGAAGGTCACGGGGAAGCCCATGTTCGCGGAGAACGTGGCGAGCTGCGACTGAGCAATGCAAAGCGTGGGATCAGAGGCACCTTCGAACGCATGCTGCTTCTCACTCAGGTTCACGAAGACCTGAATGCGTCAAGCCGCGGCATCTGGGGTCCTGCCATCATAGCGCTGGCGGTAGCACGCCAGGGCTTCCTGCGGCCAACTCCCGTTTATTACTTCCTCGTTAGTCCCCTAAACTAGACCAGGTCAATCCGGCCTCAGGGTACAGCCAACACATATAGCTGGGACGAATACATGCTTCTAACAGTAGCAGAAGAAAGTCATGTAGTAATCACGGTGGCCAGCACAAGCTGCAAGATTGCGCAACCACAGGGAAGAATGGATTGGGCACTTGCAGGCGGGCTAAACTATAGGTGGCGCGGCCTACCAATCGGTCTTTCCTGCTGTGTCTGAACACCATCACGTACACAAATCACCCTTCCGTGTTTAAGCCCACAAAGCTTCTGAAATTCGCAACTTGCCCAAAGGATCCCGTCGGATGATCTCCTTGAAGTGCGCAGCCTTTTCCTCTGCGCTGGCGCCCGCCTTACATTCACACGGCATGACACGGAGACGGGGGCTTTGGCATCAGAATTCCCGGTCCGAAGCATACTCTTCTGGTGGTGATGCGCCTTTCACGTCTTGGCTGTGCTGACTATGTGGGGCGATGTTGCGAATGAAGCAAAGTGTCATGCTGTGGTCGGCGGCGGTTTCGGCCATTTTCGTCCAGTTGTTTCGAAGTGTGTCGAAAAAGAGCTGAGCTCTCGCGAGCCGAGCGTGAACCGGCGTGAACCTGATTGGCGGCGCTGGGCGTGACAGTTCTGGTCGCTAGCATGCTGGGACGCTCATCCCTTCAAGACTGCTTGCGCCCTGAGTCCAGGCGCTGCTTTACCTGTCGATCGCGACAATCAAAGGCAAGCTGAAAGCACCGTTGCCCTCTGGTCTTCATGGCCCCGAAACCTCCGGTGCCCAAAGCCGGACCCTGACACATTTTCAGCCTAGTTCCAACCAAACACAGGACTCAACGCAGATAATCCCAAACCTTGGACCCTCACCCCCACTCTAGTCCACACAGTGTTGTCATTCGCAAGGGATCCTGTGTGTTGTTGGCTTCTTTTTTGCCACCTAAGCTGACACTGTTCCATTCTTCCCGGCTTTAGGGCCATTGCTTTATGCCTACTCTTTTTTGCCTTTACACTTCTCGAGTGGCACGTGGGGGCCATTTCAGGGCTGAGGGTTGGCATGGGAGCCTCTGCCGGCAGAAGAAACTTCCCCCGCCGCGGCGCTGCGGAGACTGCAGCGGCTTCCTACGGGGCATGAAAGGGGGGGGCCGAAATCTTGACACATTGGTGCGCAAGCGCACAAGCATGCTGGTTGCTGTGTTGCCTGACTATCTCGCCTTCAACCGATTGACATCCAAAAGCCCAAATGCACACACACAGGCACACACACACGCGCGCACACACACACACACACAGAGACGCAGAGTTGTCGTCATCTCCTGTGAGCTGTCCAGGTGCTGGGCGGCTGCTGGCTGGCGTGGCACGTCGGCCTGCAGCCGGAATGTAGGAGCTCAAAGGACGTTTGCGCTTGAACGATCCCACAAATGTACTAGGGCTTCTGGAACGCAACGTCAGAAAACTTGAAGTTCGTCTATTTGACAAACGACATGCTGCACATATCTCCCAGTTTCTTTGCTTGCTTGATTTGCCTTTGTTTCTGCAGCTTCTCCACTTTTTACATGTCTATCCCGGTCTATCCAGAACGTTTGGAGAGCTCTTGGACCATTCGCTCGACAGCCGGCCTCCATCGCCTGCTGTCGCGCATCCTTGCGAGTGCGTTGGAGGAGGGCGTGGCACCGAGTGCTACAGGGATACATAGGACATCTCTACTTGCGGGACACACGCCACGTCGACTAGCGGCAACACGGTCTTGCAGAATTTTGGGGGATCAATGAGCAGTGCAAAGACACATGGGTACATCTTGGGAAGCATGATGCTTCCTGAGTATCTCTGCCATAGGCATACTGGGACTATACTGGGGCTATGGTCAAGAAACCAGCGAAAACCCCTAGGCTGACAGTACGAGTAATTCTTGTTGCTGACCCTTCGCTTTGAGGTTTAAGCTTTTTGCTTAGACCCTGCGGTGTTCCTAACAAGCCTCTTGAGAATGCTTCCGCCCAGCGAGCCCGCAAGCAGGCAGCTTCCGCGGCCTTCAGCAACTGCTCGAAGTTAAGCTGCTGCTCCTGTCGCAGCGAAGAAGCGGTGAAACCAGCAAGCCGGCTGATCCGACTCTCAACGGGATTCGGCCGAAAGCGAGGAAACACAAATCGCACTAGCGTGGCAAGATACGCGAGAACGTCGGAAGGCCAATGCCAACATGGTAGTGTGATGCACCCGGGCACACCTGACAAACGGTCAACCAACGAAGGGGAGATGAGATGAGCAACTGCCAAGAAACGTGGGCTGGTTCAACCTGCAAGGACCAGCCCAATATCGCCCTGTCCTGGAGCGCACGCTCGCGCAGAGCCTTCTCGGCCTTGCGGATCAGGCGACGTGATCTTCAACAGGCAGCATGGGCGGCCCATGCCAAATGCACTGTGCCAGGCCTCCAATGCTTGCTCATATTCGAGCCGCATCGCCTAGCAGTTCTGACATCAACTTGCGGTTTCAGATTTCGTGTTCTCAGCATCTTTCATTTGACTGGTTTCGTTCCTTCGCCATTCCTAGCCATCCAACTTCCTGTACTAAGTGCGCCTCAAAACATGACTCTGTTGATTGATTTTGATTGGTTCAGGTTTTGACTTTTGTCTCTCCAATGTTTTGTTTATGTTTATGTATGTCCCTAATGTCTTGGAGCGCATGCACTCGACAGCCAGCCTCCATCGTCTGCTCTCGCGAGTCCTGGCGAGTGCGTTGGAGGAGGGCGCAGCATCGAGTGCTGAAGGCACGTAAGGCCCGGAGAGCATACTGGGGCGTCAGGAAACCAGTGAGGAGCCGTAGGCTGACAGTACGAGTCGTTCACGCGGAGGCCAGATAAATGCCTGAGTTGGCCTCAAAGCTATGGCTCTGGGGTTTAAGCTTTTTGGGTTTAGGGCTGCAGCCAAGAGGAAAAAAGTGGAGTTCAGGGTATATTTCGTACACTACACCGCAGCGCGCAGTAGGGGTCCGCAAGGGCTCCTATGTTTTCCTAGAGACCCCCTTAAGCGAGAAACCACCTCGAGGATGCTTGCACCTATGTAGCGAGGATCCGATTCTCAACAACGGGATTCGGCTGCCATAAGGAAACAGAAATCGCAGTGGCGTGGCAGGATATGCAAGAACATCGCCAGAGTGTGTCTCCCTGCCTACAACATAGCAACACCAGCTGGCAGAAGCAGGCTGCCCAAGTTGAGCTCCAGGGGTAGCAAGTACAGCCACACATCGCGAAGCCCGAGGAGCTCCGCGTGGAAATCAGACTTTTGTTAACCAAAAGTGCTGATCCGTACTCTGGAACTGGAACCTCAAGCGAGGCCTTTTATACACAAGTCACGCCACCAACTACTGATAGCTCTCGCGATGCTCCAGGACTGAGACGAGAAGGTCGGCACCGACACGGTGGCTTGATGAAGGCTGGTAACTCGTGCAAACGCCTCTCCGATTTTTATGAAGGGAAAGGAATCTGGGCTGCTAATGGTCCGGCAGTTGGACTTCCATGGTGGCTTGGATAAAGGTATACACATCAACGAAGCCAAAGCAACCTGTCCTGGAGCACCCGCCCGCGCAGCGCCTTCTCGGCCTTGCAGATCGACGTGATCTTCTAAGGGCAGCACGACGGCCCGTGCCAAATGTACTGTGACTGGCCTCCAATGCTTGCTCGAACTCGAGCCGCATCGCCTAGCAATTCCGCGACATGAACTTGGGCGCCGGAAGGAAGCGGACATTTAACATCCGCTTCAAGGCTAGGCTAGGCAGTTGGCAACCTCCCTGCCACATCCTGCCACTGTCGCACACGGAATCTGCACCCGCATAATCCCGCATACCTGCGAAGCTTGACAGCCCACAGCCCGCCTGGCGGGTTTGCTCGTGGGAGTCCCCAATCTCCTGCGGCGCAAGGACTTAAGTAAGACTGAGACGGAGTGAAAGTGCTGAATGTGCTGAGGAGATTCCTTGAAGGTGCGCGCTACTTAAAACAAGCAAAGGGGCACACTCTTCCCTGTGAACGCAGCCCTATACAGGGGCGCTGGACACGCGCCATAATTCGCCTCGGCTTCCTGCCGAAACCCGGATCCGGTCTCCTACCCCCTTGCCCACCCCTTCCCCCGAACTTTGTGACAAACCCCCCCCCCTTCCCGGCTCCCCCCCCCCCCCCCCCCCCCCCCTCCCCCCGGACCCCTTGCACGCCCTGCATTGCATTGGACCTCTGTCCAACCCCTCAAACCTTCATAAAACCTTCTCCCCCTCTTTGTCAGCTTCCTGCCGATAAGCATATTTTGTGCCTGCTCCTTACACGGGACGGGACCCCCTAGAGGGCGCCTCCAGGCGTCATCTCCACACACTGCATGCTCTGAACCGGCCCGGCTGCCGAGGCGGCGCACGCAAGCGTTTACAATTACCACACCATACCCAGAGGCGGGCAAATCCTCACCAGCTTCCCGTCTACAGCAACCCAAGCCAAACACTCACACATGTGCTGCGCTCATCCCGCATGGTGGAAGAATCACACGCGCAAATCTGGCCACTGAGAAGAATCAAGCTGGCAGGGCATGCGGGACTACAGCCATCTACAGCCCAACGCTGGCCATGCGCACGTGTCAGTACGTTCCGGGCTCTTCTGGAAACATTACTGTCCGGATTTTCGACCCAATGTTCCGGATTTCGCTTGAGCTATGGAAACTCAGGGAAACTCCCAGGCAGCATGCCTCTAACTTTCGCTAAGTCCCCATGCATTCCTGAGAGAAGTCCCCAGAAGCCTTTAGTTTTTTGCAGGCCAAAAGGGCGCAAGATGGCGCAGGGCACGGATGCAACACAAGCGGCCTGCAGCAGCCGCTGGACTTGGAGCCCCTGGTCCTTCGGTGAGGATGACAAGCAGGGATCACAAGGAAGCTTGCACCTGAAGATTAAACTCTAAAATTCATCTTCAACTCAACCATCCTGAACACCAAGGCTCCGAGTCAGGGAAACTGCAGAGCTGTGGCTGGGTCTTAACATGTCTGAACGGTCAGAGGGTCGTCATGTGCGGCGAACACTGGCTCCTTAGGGCTTCTCGGGTTTGGGGGCCCGAGGCTTCTGCGAAAAGATGAAAAAGGAGGAAGAGTCCGCGGCCTGCAGCAGCTGCTCGAAGTTCAGCCGCTGCTCCTGCCGTGAACCGCTGTGAAAATAGCCGACTGACTGACCCGATTCTGAAGGGGATTCGGCCATGAGGAAACAGAATCGTACTGGCGTGGCAAGATACGCAAGAAACATCGCCCGCGTGGCTTTCAGCGGTAGTTACCAACAAGATCATAAATGAGCAACACCCGCTGGCATGAGCAGTCTGCTCAACTCGGGCTCAAACCACAGGTAAGAAACACAGCCATGCGCCCAAAGAGCTCAGCATGGAAATATTAGACTTATGGATCTTATGGTGCTACTGCATCAGCAGGGCCGTGATGACCAACACTCCGGCGGCCCGCGCCAAACCTGTGCTGACCTCCATGGCGTGGTCGTGCTCGAGCCGCATCGCCTGGCATTTCCGTGACACAGGCTTGCTTATGCCACGGAATTGCCAGGAGATGCGTCTCGAGTTCGATCAAGCCATGGAGGCCATGGCTTTTGGCCGGCCCAGGCCAAGATTGACTCTGCGCTGCTCAGGGTAGTGCTGCAAGAAGTCGGTGAGGTCGCCAGAAATCGCAGCTGATGGCGGTCCAGCAGTCACGCAGCTTGTCAACGTGTAGCTCAGTTATCTTGTCAGTAGGTTTCTTCGGCTCAAGCCACACTCACAAAAGTGCTCGACATAACAGTCATAACAGTCTCCACTGCCTGCTCCGCCACACGCCTGATGTGCACTCTGTAACCTGAAAGATCGAAGCCTGTGCGCTGCTCCAAGGACAAGCGGAGGGCCTTCAAGCCTTGCTCCAACAGCAATGGAATCATGACGTTCGTGAGCGTGCTCTTTGTCCATGGCGAATCGGGCAACTCGGACCCCTTTGCTGCAGTGGGCAACTGTATGGGGTTCTGGGGCACTACAATGTTCCTGCGCTGTCGCAGGCAATTTGGGCCCTCCTGGCAATTCCGTGACATAAGTTTACCGGCACTGGAACGGAGGCGGACCACCTCGTAGCTACCAAGCTTGACAGCATTTGACAGCCAACATTCGCCTTCACGGTCTGCTCGAGGGCATCACGGGTCTCCTGCAGTGCGAGGGCAAAAAGACGACTGGGACTGAGAGGCAGCGAAGGGGCACACTCCCAGCACGATGTAGAGATGTGGAACCGATATCCCACATCGTGGCATGAAGAACCAGGTGTGAAGCACAACAATCCAACGCAGGATGGGGCATGTGTCAGAACATTACGCGCTTCTGCGACAGCATTCCTGAAACCTTTTCCACCTGAACAACTACAACTTCATGGACACCTGTGTCGAAATTCGGGGAGGCTCCCATGCCAAGTCTCCGATCTTCACAAAGTCTCCATGAATCCTTTAGGGAAATGTCCATAAGCCTGCTTATGCCTTGCGGGCGCGAATGAAACAAGCGGCCTGCAGAACGGTCTGATAATGACGCTGCTGCTCCTCCAACACCAGTCAAAAGAGGCGCAAGATGACAAAAGACGATCATTCAGTCGGTAAGCACACTGTTTACCCAGCAGCTGCAGTTCATTGCAGTTCGTCGCCTACCTGACGAAGGATCCCGACCCGGGTTTCCTGCCCTGCTTGGACTCCCTTGAGTTGGAGTGCAGCCCCGAAACGCCCCGTCCTCAAGCGCTTGCTCTCGTCGTGCTTCCTCGGCCTGGCGTATCCATCGACGTGATCTTCAACAGCACGACGGCGCGTGCGAAATGCGTCCGAGCTGGCCTTCAGCGCTTGCTCGTGCTCGAGTTGCAGGGCCTGGCAAACTCCGGGAACACAACTCGCAGTGCTGGAAGCGAGAACCAGCCCCAGAGGCTAAGCGGATTGCAGCCACCGTCGTGCACGGAATCTTCACTCTAACAGCAAAAGCAAGTGCATCCCTTGCAAGTTGAAGCTCGCCCAGTTCAGAGTTGTTGCGTTTCGGGCGAGGGCTGCGAAAGCCCAACCACTGGTCACCTGTTGACGTTTGTCTGCGACGCTTGACAGCCAACAGCCCGCCTTGCAGGCTTGCTTGTGAGCATCTTCTTTCTCCTGCACAGTTTCGCAAGCAAACGGGCTGAGCAAAGCTGAATATTCTACGGAGCGCACTCGACTTGGACACATGCCATGGGTACCAGAGGCACGCAACTCTTCTGTAGCTCAGCATTCCTCAACTCGTTCAGCCCAGTTTTCCAGAGTACACTTAAACTACACTTCAGTGACGCCTGCGGTCGAATCTCGGCATGCCATGTGTCTCCATGAATCCCTTGCTGGTACAGTACAAGTAGGGAAATGCCCATAAGCCTCCTGAAGCTTGCAAAGGTGCGGGGCACAGATGCACAAACGCGGCCTGGAGCCGCTGCTCGAAATGGAGCTGCTGCTCCTCCCCAGCATCGAATGAAAGAAGAGGGTCGAGATCGGCACGCAAGATGGATTTCACAGGAAGAGCATGGAATCGCACATACACAAAACAAGCAGTCAAATCAAGCAGTGCAAGCATTGACCCTGCAGCGACAGCGAATCAATGGCCCACACCCTTGCGTGCAACTACATGCCATAATTTGAACGTATTTGAACCACGACAGCCGACGGATCGGATCGGCACGGGACGGGCGCAAGATGACGCAACCCATAAGCACGCTTCTGCCAGAACTGCGCAACGGACCGTAGTTCGTCGCCTACTTGGTAGCTCACTGGGACCCCGAAATGCGTGGTTGGCTTGCATGGGTCACAAGTATGTTAACTTCTTCTTCGCCGCAGCCCAATCAAACACACCATAGCAGGTGGGATCAATGTTCGAAAATGGTTTGGCGCCGTTGCGCTGTTGCACCGCACTGGGCGCAGAACCCTAAACCCTAATCCAAAAACCCTAGAACCCCAACCATAAACCCTAAGCCCAATGTCCTACGAGTTCAAGGAGTGGCGTACGGAGCAACATGGAGCAACGGAGTAATAAAACAGAGCGGAGCGGTTTTGTGAACGCCGTTTCCACCCATAATGAAAGCTTTGGACTTGCCTTGCCGATTTGTCACGGGCGCACACCAACACATGAAGCCAAAAACACCCTGTCCTGAAGCGCTTGCTCGCGCATCGCCGGCCCCGCCTGGCAAATCAGGATGATCAGGCGACATGAACTGCGCCAAATGCGCCGCGCGCCAATCCAACTTTCATGCTCTGAGCACGCCGAGGGCCGCGGAACGCGTGGTAAGTTGGACTGTGAGCAATTCGTGTTTGGGACTGTGTGGTGGATGGGTTGATAGAAGGCACATGCTAAATCAAAGGCAGCCTCGTCCTGGAGCTGCGTTTGTTGCTCCTTTTCCCCGGCTTCGTGTTCTTGCTGCATCGCCTGGCCAATTTGCGACGTGACATGACGATGCGAAGACACACACACACAACTGCTCCCCCGACACCCGAGCTAACCCTCCCCATGGCCGTCAGCGAAAATGGTGCGAAATCGTGCAACACCCAAGCCCTTGCGGCCCGTCCTGCAGCTCGCGGGTCTCTGGCCCTGCCTGCAAAGGGGTGGAGGTGAGTGGGAAGTTCCACCCTGTAGCCGAGGCAGTTCAGGCCTTTGGGGAGTCATAGTCGGGAGGCTCCTGGCGGCGAAAGGGCTAGGGGACAAGGACTTCACAAAGAACGCGCTGTGCATCGCCGAAGCAACGAAGGCTGTCGCCCCGCCTCCGTGTCCGGCTTCCGCCTTTGCAGCAGGTTCGGCAAGGGCCTCGAAGTCTTTCACTCCATGCATCTCACATGAGAACATATGAGAACACTATGAGAACACACATATATGATGCCAGCATAGATACAGCACAGAACATCTCGTATACTCGTCCGACGCGACCCGCAGGCTACAAACAAGATCCGAGGAGCTCATGGGAGGCTGCCAGCGGTGGCCTTGCCTCCTGGAATCGAAGCGACAGCTGGCCCCGCGCTCGTCTGTTTTGGGTTAAGGTCAGCGCTGGGCCTTGGGCGGCGTCTGGAGAGCCGGCGACGACGCTGCCTGAGCAAGCGCAAATGAGCACAGCGTCGCTTTCACGGAGAGGCAGCACATCATGATGAGCATGAGGCATCCCTCACCCTACGGTCACCGTAAGTGCATGGCTCCCATCTCACGTTGACCAGGCCTGACCTGACAATTGAAGCCCCCGCCGTCCGTCGCCAAAAAAAGAGACGCAAATTGCAAACCTCGAGGCCTGGGGCCTAGGCTCGGCGCGGTGTCGCAAACGGCGGGCACTGCCGTACTGGCATCGCCTTATGAAACGGCAGGGCAGCATAGCACGGGCAACAGCCATGCCCGGCGCCTACTCGCCGACCTACCCGTTCTGCATAGGTCCCGCGCGGGTGGAAGGCGCGCGGCATACACCGGAGGTGCCGGATGTCCAGGGACTGATCGGTGAACGTGGCGAAACATGTGCGCTCAACAGGGCACCCCAGGTATCCCCAAGTCCTCAATGGCACTAGAGACTGAGGGCCAAAAACTTGCGAAGCCTGGAATTTCAAGACATCCCATGCTGCCGGGCAACTGGTGATCACCTGCAGAGGGCGAGGCAGGCATGAAAAGCCATGAGTTCCAATGCTAGCGCAACAAGTCTCGACCTCTTCATCTGGGGCTCCACGCGCTCACCACCAACGGATCGCGCTTGGTCCGCAAGTAGAGGGGCGGCCTCGCGCGAAACAGCTGCAAAGGAGGGCAACGGCCATGGCTCTCAACTCTGGACCTACCGGACGTAGCACCACTTAGGACCAACACGCTGCAACCCACGGGTGTGGCAACATGGTCCCTGTCAGGCTTGCATGCTGGCTCAGGCCGAGGCCCCGCGGAACGCGCAGGACCTGATCACATATCGAACCGGTCACGAGGCCCTCCGTGTCCTCAAAGAATCAGAGCTCTGAGGCGTCCACTGACCACCCTAGACACATGGCCAGATCTGGACACCTGGGCAAGCGCTTTGTTGCCCATGTTTGGCGTATCCTTTAAATCATTTTCGCTATGGCGTCTCACAGGGTGCCCGCGAGTCACACGATACCACTGCCTCTTTGTGCCTCGCAACAATCGCCTAGAAATCCTATCGCCGGGGCAGACTTGGCGTCACTGAACTGGGCCAAGGCACCATAGGTGAGGGCGACGGCGTCCTCATCCGAATGGATGCCATGGCTGATAAATTTGAAGTAACTTGTGCACTTGAAACGAGGGGCGCAAGATGGCGCAAGGCAAGGCCCTGCGAAACTACTCTGAACCACACGCTGCGGGAAAAGCAAACCATGAGGCCCGCAATCGAACCAAATCTGCTCAAAGCTGAAGTGCCGGTCTCGATATGGTAGGAAGGCGAGACTTTGCTATAAGCCATGAACAACCTCTCGACATTATGACTTCAGTGACGCCTTGACATCTGCAAAACCCTCTGATCCCAACACCTGTAGCCGATAGGGCGGCCACTGGCAGTTGAAGCCAAATGACCACGATGCTGCTTCTGGAAGATGTATCGCGTGGAGAGAAGGAGGGCATGACACGCCACCCCCAAACCGATGGGTCACAATTTTCTCCGGCGAATCCGGGCTCTTGACCACTCAGCGAAAGGACAGATGTTTGTTTAAAGTTCTTCGACAGCACACAGAACTGGGGGCTTCGATGCTAGGGCGCAGTTGATGTCAATGCTTGCTTCAAGTCATCCGCTATAGCCCCTCCTGCTGTGACGTGTGAGACTTTGTGAGACAGATGAAACAGACATAAGATAACATAAGAATGTGCCAGGACACCACAGGTCACCGGCACTCTAGGTGGGAGCCGCACTGCAGCAGCCTGAGACGCAAAAGCAAAGCGGGCTGCGTGATGTGGACTCGCAAGAAGCACACGTGTGCGAAGAGGGAGCGAGTCCCGATGCTCCATCTAGACGTGCTGCGGACATAGCGTCGAAGGCTCCCATCAGCAGATGTGCACTATGATGCGCACTATGCCGCATGAAGATTTGTGGACATAGACGCCCACGGAATCCCGCACAGCCGCTGGCGGCGCCTAGTTCTGAGGGCGGCGCCGTAACCGAACACGTCAACGGAAAGACCGTAACCCAAAATCCACACCCTAATCACCCCTACTTGTGAAGAAGGGGTAGAACCGCAGGGCAGAGCCAGCGCCGACTTCAGGGGACGAGGCTGGGATGGCTGAACTTAAGAGAAAACGAGAGCAACTCAACTCAAGAGGAAGACAAAAAAAAAAGATCCTGGGTCCCATTCCGCAAGACTTCTGTGAGCGCCTCCAATACTCTTTGGATCTTGTGGGAGCATTGGTAACGCCCCCCCCCCCAAGTGGCCCAAGCAAAAGCCTGAAAAGCCAAGATCCTGCAGAAAGTTGAAGCCAAGGAACGTCAGCGGCGGCGGCGGCGGCGGGCCCAGAGAAGCTCCTTCGCCAACTTGAAGGGCACGGGGAAGCCCATGTTCGCGGAGAAGATGGCGAGCTGCGACTGAGCAAGGCAAAGCGTGGGATCAGAGGCACCTTCGAACGCATGATGTTTTAATTAATATGTTTTTCACTCAGGTTCACGAAGACCTGAATGCGTCAAGCCGCGGCATCCGGGGTCCTGCCATCATAGCGCTGGCGGTAGGACGCCAGGGCTTCCTGCGGCCAACTCCCGTTTATAACTCCCCTCGTTAGTCCCCTGAACTAGACCAGGTCAATCCGGCCTCAGGGCACAGCCAACACGTATAGCTGGGACAGGCTGGGACGAACATGTGCTTCTAACGGTAGCAGAAAAAAGTCATGTAGTAATCACGGTGGCCAGCATAAGCTGCAAGATGTCGCAGCCACAGGGAAGAATGGATCGTGCGCTTGCAGGTTGGGGATCCCGTCGGATGATCTCCTTGAAGTGCGCAGCCTCTTCTGCTGCGCTGGCGCCCGCCTTACATTCAGCAGGCATGACAAGGAGACGGGGGCTTTGGCATCAGAATTCCTGGGTCGGTGATGATGCAGCCTTTTCACGTCTTGGCGTTGATTTGTACTGATGACTATGTGGGACGATGTTGCGAATGAAGCAAAGTGTCATGCCGTGGTCGGCGGCGGCTTCGGCCAGTTTTTTTCGGAAAAGAGCTGAGCTCTCTCGAGCCGAGCGTGAACCTGATTGGCGGCGCTGGGCGCCACGGTTCCGGTCGCATGCTGGGACGCTTGAGCTTCTGCGTCCACATCACCTCATCCCTTCGAGACTGCTTGCCAGGCGCTGTTTTACCTGTCGATAGCGACAATCAAAGGCAAGCTGAAAGCACTGTTGCCCTCTGGTCTTTCATGGCATTTCATGGCCCCGAAACCTCCGGTGCCCAAAGCCGGGAAACCGTAACACATTTTCAGCCTAGTTCCAACCAAACACAGAACTCAATGCACATAAATCCCAAACCTTGGACCCTCACCCCACTCTAGTCCACACAGTCTTGTCATTCACAACGGATCCTGTGTGTTGTTGGCTTCTTTTTTGCCACATAGGCTGACACTGCCCCATTGCAGGACACAATCAACACGTTTTTTCCGGCTTTAGGGCCATTGCTTTGTGCCTACTCTTTTGCTTTGGTACACTTCTCAAGTTGCACGTGGGGCCATTTCAGGGCTTCGAGTTGGCATGGGTGCCTGCACCGCTTTGGAGACTGCAGCAGCTTCCTGCGGGGCATATGGGGCATGAAAGGAGGGGACCGAAATCCTGACACACAAAGACCATTGGTACCCAAACGCACAAGCATGCTGGTTGACTGCAGTGTTGCCTGATTATCTCGCCTTCAACACACACATACACACCGACGCAGAGTTATGGGAGCCTGCGCAGGCAGAGGCTGCCCGTCTGGCGGCGGGGAGACTGCGGCGGCTTCCTACGGCAAAGACCGTTGGTACGCAGGCGCATTCGCATGCTTGCTGACTGCAGTGTTGAGTCTTAAACCAAAATCTTTCTCTCAGCTTCAAACCGATTCGATTGCGACATCCAAAAGCCCAAACGCACACGCACACACGCAGACAGACGCCATCATTTCCTGTGGAATGTCCCGGTGCTCGGAGGCTGCAGGCGGGCAGGGCGGCACGAGGTCCTGCAGCTCGGACATGTCACAGTTAAAGGGGCCTTTACGCTTCAACGATCCCACAATGTACTAGGTCTTCTGGAGCGCAACGTCAGAAAACTTGAAGTTCGTCCAGCTGTCAATCGGAACGCAGCACATATTTCCCAGCTACCTTGCTTGCTTGATCCAAGCTTGCTTTTGTCTCTGAGGCTTTTGACTTTTCATGTCTACCCCGGTCTATCCCGAGCGCGGGGAAGCTCTTGGACTGTTCGCTCGACAGCCGGCCTCCATCGTCTGCTTTCGAGCATCCTTGCGAGTGCGGCGGAGGAGGGCGTGGCACCGAGTGCTAAAGAGATCCCATCCGTTCAGAACAAGGCGAAAACACCACAAGGAACACTCCTTCTGAGGGAGCCGTCCTTCTGAGAACATCTCAACTTTGGTAACTTAGACCATAACGGTGTTCCTAGAATAACCCTTGAAAATGCTTCTGCCCAGCGAGACCGAAAGCACGCAGCCTCCGCGGCCTTCAGCAGCTGCTCGAAGTTAAGCTGCTGCTCCTGTCGCAGCGAAGAAGCGGTGAAAGCAGCAAGCCGGCTGATCCGATTCTCAACGGGATTCCGCCGAAAACGAGGAAACAGAAATCGCATTGGCGTGGCAAGATACGCAAGAACAAGATAAGCGAGAACATCGGAAGGCCAACGCCAACATCTTAGTGTGATGCACCCGGGCACACCTGACAAACGGTCAACCAACGAAGGGGAGATGAGATGAGCAACTACCAAGAAACGTGGGCTGGTTCGACGTGCAAGGACCACTCCGATCGCCCTGTCCTGGAGTGCACGCTCGCGCAGCGCCTTCTCGGCCTTGCGGATCAGGCGACGTGATCTTCTACCGGCAACACGAAATGCACTGTGCGGGGCCTCCAATGCTTGCTCGTACTCGAGCCGCAGCGCCTAGCAGTTCTGACATCAACTTGCGGTTTCGGATTTCGTGTTCTCAGCGTCTTTCATTTGACTGGTTTCGTTCCTTCGCCATGCCCTGCAATTCTTCCTGATCCTTCTTCCTTTACCAAGTGCGCCTCAAAACATGACTGATCCAGGCTTTGACCTTGGTCTCTCCAATGTTTTGTTTATGTCTATCCCTCGTGTTTTGGAAGGAGCTCACACGGACCATTCACTCGACAGCCGGCCTCCATCGTCTGCTCTCGCGAGTCCTTGCGAGTGCGTTGGAGGAGGGCGCAGCATCGAGTGATGAAGGCACGTAAAGGCCCGGAGAGGAGCATACTGGGGCATCAGGAAACCAGTGAGGAGCCGTAGGCTGACAGTACGAGCAGTTCACGCGGAGGCCAGATAAATGCCTGAGCTGGCCTGAGCTGGCCTCAAAGCTATGGCTCTGGGGTTTAAGGTTTTTGGGTTTAGGGCTTCGGCCAAGAGTAAAAATTTTGGAGTTCAGGGTATAGTTTGTACACTACGCCCCGGTAGGGGTCCGCAAGGGCTCTCATAATGTACCTAGAAACCTCTTTGAGAGAAACCACCCCGATGATGCTTGCACCTAGCGAGAAGCGAATCACGCCTTCAGCAGCTGCTCGAAGCTTTGCTGCTGCTCCTGTAAGAAGCGGCGAAACCAGCAAGGGGGAAACTGGCCGCCAAGAGGAAACCAAAATCGCATGCATCGCCAGGGTGTGTATCCGGAGTCTCTTTCTACAAAATGAATGAGCAACACCAGCTGGCAGAAGCAGTCTTCCCAAGTTGAGCTCCACGCGTAACAAATACAAACCAAAAGGGCTGATCAGCACTCTGGAACTGGAAACTCAAGCAGGGCCTTTTGTACGTAAGTCACGCCAGAATCTCCACCAACTACTGATGGTTCTCGTGATGCTCCAGGATTGAGACGAGAATGTCAACACCGACATGGTGGCTTGATCAACAACTGCCAGGAGACGCAGGCTGGTAAATCGTGCAAACGCCTCTCCGATTTTGATGAAGGGAAAGAAATCTGGGCTGCTAATGGTCCGGTAGTTGGACTGGCTTTGAAAAGGCACACGTCAACGAAGCCAAAGCGCCCTGTCCTGGAGCATCCGCTCGCGCAGCGCCTTCTCGGCCTTGCGGATCAGTCCGGCGATGTGACAGTCTACCGGCAGCACGAAATGCACTGTGCCAAATGCGCTGCGCCTGGCCTCCAGGGCTTGTGCGAACTCGAGCTGCAACGCCTAGCAATTCCGCGACATAAACTTGGGTGCTGGAACGAAGCGAGCATCTGCCTAAAGGCTACGCTAGTGGCCTCCCTGCCACATTGAAAGGAATCTGCACCCGCACACCTGAAAGGCATGACAGTGGACAGCCCGCCTTCCGGGTTTGCTCGTGGGCGTCCCCAGTCTCCTGATGTGCGAAGACAAGCAAGGCTGATACGGACTGAGAGGGCTGAGGGGATTCCTGGAAGGCGCGCTCTATCTAAAACAATCAAAGTGAACGCAGCCATATACATCATGCGCATGGACACACACCAGACCACGCTATACCTAGAGGCTAGCAACTCCTCACCAGCTTACCGTCTACGGCAACCCAAGCCAAACGCTCACACATGTGCTGCGCTGGACATCCCGCATCGTGGAAGAATCACAGGCGGAAGAATCAAGGTGGCAGGGCATGCGGGACTACGGCCCAACACTGGCCACGCGCACGTATCAGTATGTTCAGGGCTACCCGATTTGCCTGCCTGATGTGTTGGATTTCGCTTAAGCAATGGAAACTCAGGGAAACTCCCAGGTGTCATGCCTCTAATTTTCGCTGTGTCCCCCATGCATCTCTGAGAGAAGTCCCCCGAAGCCTCCTTTAAGTTTTTGCAGGCACGCACAAAAGGGCGCAAGGCACGGATGCAACACAAGCGGCCTGCAGCAGCCGCTGGAAATGGAGCCCCTGGTCCTTCCGTGAGGATGTCAAGCAGAAATCACAAAGAAGTCGTCACGTGCAACAACTGAAACCTGAGCCCTGGATCAAGTTTGTTTTCTACCACCGTGGCACTGTGTTGCCCTTAAGGCCAAGGCTCCGATTTAGAGAAACTGGAGAGCTGTGGCTGGGGTCTTCACGGTCTGAGGGTAAAACCCCCGAAAGCCTCCTGAAGCCTGCAGGCGCGAGGCACATGCAAGGGGCGGCCTGGATCAGCTGCTCGAAATGGAGCCGCTGCTCCTCCCGTGCAAGATCGAAGAACAAGGCCGTGAAAATCGGCATGCAACATGACTTTCAGAGGAGTATGGAATCGCACATATGCCCAAGCAGTGGCAGCATTGAAAGTGCCCCGACCCTGGTTTGCAAATACATGCGAATCACACCAGCCGACGGATCCGATCGGCACAGAGAATGCAATCCGTAAGCAATCCGTGAGCACGCCTCTAAGAGTCTAGGTTTACAAGTACTCAGCTAAATACGGCAGATCGAAGTCTACTTGTTGACTGACCGGGACCCCGAAATGCATGGTTGGCACCTTCAGCAATGACAAGCTCTGCAGGTGCCACAGACAGATCAGCTTCAGCCATTGACCCCGACCCAACATGTGCGCTTAGACTTAGCTGGCCTGCTTGCATGGGCGTCCGCCAACATGTGAAGACAAAAACACCCTGTCCTGAAGCTCGTGCTCGCGCAGGGCCTTCTCTGCCTGGCGGTTCAGGATGATCAGGCGACATGATCTCCAACAAGCAGCAAAATGGGATGTGCCACACCGTGTTGGCCTCCAGGACTGCCTGGTTCTCGACTAGCATGGCCTGGCAACTTCGTGAAATCAACTTGCGGCGCCGGAAGGAAGGGAGAATCGGCCCCGGAGGCTAAGCGGATTTGTAGCCTGCGACGCTTGCTCGCCAACAGCCCGCCTTGCAGGCTTGCTCATGGGCATCTTCAGTCCCCTGCACAGTTTCGAAAGCAAACAGACTGAGCAAAGCTTCATATTATACGGAGATATACGGAGTGCACTGGGCTGGGACACATGCTATGGCAGCTTTGCTTACCAGAGGCACGCAGCTCCTCTGTAGCTCAGCATGCCTCAACTCATTCAACCTAGCTTTGCAGAGTACACTGAAGTGAAAACAAGCTGCCAGGAACCCACATGTAGCCTGTTGACGCCTCGCATCGAAACTCGGGGAAGCTCCCATGCAAAAGGCGGCCTGGATCAGCTGTTCGAAATGGAGCCGCTGCTCCTCCCGTGCAAAATGCAAGAGCAAGGTCGTGAACATAAGGACTTCACAGGAGAGTATGGAATCGCGCATATGCAAAACAATCAGTGGTAGCGTTGACCCTACCTTGGCTGGCAACTACATGCCACACTTAAGGTGAATCATGCCAGCCGACGGATCCGATCGGCACAGAACACGTGCAAGATGTCCAATCCGTAAGCAATCCGTAAGCACGCTTATGCGTTAAACGGACCGCAGTCCGTCGCACACTCGTTGACTGACTGGGACCCCGAACCATATGGCTCCTTCTTCGCCATACCCCGATCAAAAATTTCATCGCAGGTGGGATGAATGTCCGAAATGGCCTTGCCCCGTTGCTCAGTTGCGCCGCAGTGGGGGGCAGAAACCCTATAATCCATAAACCCTATGCCTGAAGTCCCAAAGTCGAACCCGAAACCCAAACCGTATACAAGGAGGGGAGAACGAAGCAACGGAGTAGGGAGCAACGGAGCAGACCAGTTTTGTGGACGACGTTTCCACCACCCATAATGCATTGTTTGGACTTAGCTTGCCCGCTTTTCATGGCTGCACTCCAAAAAAAACCCAAAAAAAACCGTCCTGAAGCGCGTGCTCGCGCAGAGCCTTCCCCGCCTGGCGCATCAGGATGATCAGGCTACATGATCTTACACAAGCAGCACGATGGGACGCGCCGCACGCCAATCCAACTTTCATCATCTGAGCATGCCGAGGGCCACGGCACGCATGGCAAGTTGAACTGCGAGTGATTTGTGTTTGGGGCTGGCTGGTGGATGTGCTGACAGAAGGCAAATGCTAAATCAATGGCAGCCTCCTCCTGGAGCCGCGTCTGCTGCTGGATCTCCTCCAGGTTACGCTTGCACCGACATCGTCAACAAGGCAGCGCAATGGCGACGCGGCGCATGCACTGCGCCGGCCTGTGAGGCTTCACGCTCTTGCTGCATCGCCTGGCCACATTGCGACGTGACATGATGTAAAGACACTCAACGGCTCCTCCAACCCTTCCAGCTATGACTCCCCATGGGAAACTCGTGCAAAATCGTGCAACATCCAAGCTCCAGGCCTGCAGCTCGCGGTTCTCTGGCCCTGCCTGCAAAGGCGGGAGGCGCAAGGCATCTCACAAAGCAGTTCCACCCTACGGTAGCCAAGGCATTTCAGGCCTTTGCGGAGCCATTGTCAGGAGGCTCCTGGCGTCGCAAGGCTGGGAGACAAGGACTTCACAAAGAACGCGGAGCTGCCGCCTCCGTGTCCGGCTTCCGCTTCTGCAGCAGGTTCGGCAAGGGCCTCGAGACTTTCACTTCATGCATCTCGCAGGAGAGAATCTGACAACCTTCTGAGAACACACATACATGACGTCATAGATACGTCATAGATACGTCATAGATACATCACAGCACATCTCGTATACTCGTCCGACTCGACCCACAGGCTACCAGCGGCTACCAACAAGATCCGAGCAGCTCAGGGGAGGCTGACGGTGATGGCCTTGATTCCTGGAATGAAAGAGATGCCCGGTGCTCGTCCGTTCTGGGCAAGGTCAGCGCTGGGCCTTGGGTGGCGTCTGCAGAACCGGCGACGCTGCCTGAGCAAGCACAAATGAGCACAGCGTCGCTTTCACGGAGAGGCAGCATCATGATGAGCATGAGGCAGCGCCCACCCTACACGTAAGTCCATGGCTCCCATCTCACGTTGGCCAGGCGGGACCTCACAATTAAATCCCCCGTGTCCCCCGCCACAGAAAGAGACGCAAACGCAAACCTCGAGGCCTAGGGCCTAGGCTTGGCGCGGTGTCGCAAACGACGAACACTGCTGCTCTGGCATCACCTTATGAGCGGCAGAATGCGGCCAACAACCCGCGACACCCGGAACTTCTTCGCCGACATACCCGTTCTGCAGAATTAGGTCCCGCGCGGGTGGAAGGCTCGCCGCGTATACCGGTGCTGGATGTCCATTGACTGAGCTCAACAGGGCACCCCAGGTATCCCCAAGACTTCAATGGCACTAAACGCACTCAAAGACTAAAGTCTAGAGCCAAAGACCTGCGAAGCCTGGAATTTCAAGACATCCCATGCTGCCAGGCAACTGGTAATCACCTGCAGAGGGCGAGGCATGAAAAGCCACGAGTTCCAATGCAAGCGCAAGCAAATTGAGCTGAGTCTCGATGTGGATCTCGCTTTGTCCACAAGTGGAGGGCGGCCTCGAGCGCAACAGCGGCAAAGGAGGGCCCGGAACGGCCACACGCAAGGGTAGTCGAGAGAACCGACGTAGCACCACGTAGCACCACGTAGCACCGCAACACGCCGCAACCCACAGGTCTAGCTGCTGGCTCAGGCCGAGGCCCCGCGGAACGCGCAGGACCTGATCACTGATCGATATCGAGCCGGCCACGAGACCCCGTGTCCTGAACTGGGCGCCGTTCCTCAAAGAATCAGAGCTCTGAGGTGTCCACTGACCACCGTAGACACTTGGGCAGCCCTGGACACCTGGGCAAGGGCTTTATTGCTCATGCTTGGCTAAGCTTCGAACGATGTTTGCTATGACGTCTCAGGGTGCCAGTGAGCCACAAGCTACCACTGACTATTTGTGCTTCGCAACAACCGCCTATAAACCCTATCGCCGGGCAGACTTCGCGTCACTGAACTGGGCCGAGGCACCATAGGTGAGGGCGACGGCGTCCTCATACGAATGGATGCCATGACTGGGTGATTTGCACAGTTTCTTGAAGCGAGGGATGCAAGGCAAGGCCCTGCAAAACTATGCTGAACCATACGCCGCGGGAAAAACGCACATCGTGAGGCTCATGATCGAACCAAATTTGCTCAAAGCTGAAGTGCTGCTCTCCAGCACCCCTGCAAATAAGATTTCGGGCCGATGATTGGGATTGCAGATATGGTGGGAAGGCTAGACTTTGCCATAAGCCATCAACAACCTCTCGACATTATGACTTCAGTCACGCCTTGATATCCGCAAAACCCGCTGATCCCAACACCTGTAGCCGATAGAAAGTGGCTGCCGAGGGAAGATATTTTGCGGTCCAAGCGTAGGGAATTAAGGCTGACGAATTCCACTTTCGGTCTTATTCTTCTCATTGCGCCTCCTACAAGAATACCACTTCCTTCATGCAATTCTTGCCTAGCAATACTTTCAGTTATTTGGGTCCATCACCGCAGGAAGGGCTGGCCACTGCTTGGCAGTTGAAGCCAAAGGACCATGACGCTGCTTCTGGAAGATCCAAGCAACTGCATCGTGGAGAGAAGGAGGGCCATGACACACCAGCCCCAAACTGATGGGTCACAATTTTCTCCGGCGAATCTGGGCTTTTGACCACTCAGCGAAAGGAAAGCCTAGAAAAGTTCTTCGGCAGCACACAGAAGTGGGGCTTCGATGCCAGGGTGCAATTGCTGTCAATGCTTTCTTCAGGTAGCTTTCTGTGCCATCCGCTAGCCCCTCCTGCTGTGACGTGTGAGACTTTGTGAGACAGATGAAACAAAGGACATAAGATGACACATAAGAATGTGCCAGGACACCAGAGGTCACCGGCACTCTTGCTTGGAGCCACAGCGCAGCAGTGGGCTGCTATGAGCATGTGCTCCATATTCAGAGCGCAAGAAGCCAGCTGCACTTCGGCGCTGATCTCCCAGTTGCAGTTCCTCATGCACGCATCTGTCTGTTGATGGGAGCCTTCGATGCAATGTCTGTAGCAAGTCTAGACAGCATCGCGGCACTCACTTCACACATTCGTGAATCCCGCACGGAGTACAGAAGCGCTCGCTTTGAGGGCTTGAGCAGCTCAACTCAATAGAAAAAAACATTTCGGCAGATTCCCTGTCCAATTCCCCAAGACTTCTTGCAGTCTGAAGCCAAGGAACATCAACGGCGGCGGCGGGCCCAGAGAAGCTCCCGCGCCAACTTGAAGGGCACGCGGAAGCCCATGTTGGTGGAAAAGGTGGCGAGCTGCGACTGAGCAAGGCAAAGCGTGGGATCAGAGGCATATTCGAACACGTGGTGTTTCTCACGCAGGTTCACGAAGACCTGAATGCGTCAAGCCGCGGCATCCGGGATCCTGCCATAGCGCTGGCGGTAGCATGCCAGGGCTTCCTGCGGTCAACTCCCCTATCAGTCCCCGATACTACATCAGGGTCACTAGGCAATAGGCTCACTCAGGGTACAGCCAACACATATGACTGGGCTAACAGTATGATAGAAGACGTCATGTGGTACAATGACTAGTGGTGGCCGGCATAAGCTGCAAGATTGCGCAAGCATAGGGGAGCGCCACGCAACGTGGTGCTTCAATGGATCCCATGCTTGTAGGCTGGCTGAACTAGTTGGTGTGGCCCACCAATCCTCTACTAAAGCTACGTCGGGTATGTACACCATCACTTACACCATCACGTCCTCGCCCTTCCGTGTTTAAGCCCGGATCCCAAGGGCCCAGGATGCAAATTGAAGGATCCCTGTGATATCCTTGAAGTCCGCAGCCTGTTCCTCTTCGCTGGCACGCGCCTAACAGTGACCGGGCATGACAAGGAGACGGGTGAGGCTCTAGCAATAGAATTCCCTGCATTCCGGTGATGATGCAGCCTTTTCACGTCTTGGCGCTTATTGTGTGTAGTCACGCAGTCAGGCGATGTTTGGGAATGGGAACCTGCGCAGGCAGAGGCTGCGCCCGCGGCGCTGGGGAGAATGCAGCGGCTTCCTACAGTACGGGCAGGCCACAGGCATGCCTGTTGATTGTAGTGTTGCCTGAGTCTTCCCTCACCTTCAAACCGATTGACCTCCAAAAGCACAAACATACACTCGTGCGCACATGCACAGAGAGAGAGAGAGAAAGAGAAAGAGGGAGAGAGACGCAGAGTTATGGGAGCCTGCGCAGGCAGAGGCTGCCCCTGCGGCGGTGGGGAGACTGCGGCGGCTTCCTACGGCAAAGACCAACGGCAAAGACCGTTGGTACGCAAACGCATGATTAAGCATGATTGCTGACTGCAGCGTTGAGTCTTAAACCAATTTCTTCTCTCAGCTTCAAACCGATTCGATTGCGACATCCAGAAGCCCCAATGCACACGCGCACACGCACACACGCACACACGCAGACACGCAGACAGACGCCATCATTTCCTGTGGAGCATCCCGGTGCTCGGAAGCTGCAGGCTGGCGTGGCGGCACGACGTCCTGCAGCGCGGAAATGTCACAGTTCAAAGGGCCTCTACGCTTCAACGATCCCACAATTGTACTAAGGCTTCTGGAACGCAACGTCAGAAAACTTGAAGTTCGTCTATTTGTCAATCGGAACGCAGCACATATTTCCCGGCGACCTTGCTTGCTTGATCCAAGCTTGCTTTTGTCTCTGCGACTTTTGACTTTTTTACGTCTATCCCGGTCTATCCCGCACGTGGGGAAGCTCTTGGACTGTTCGCTCGACAGCCGGCCTCGATCGTCTGCTTTCGCGCATCCTTGCAAGTGCGGTGGAGGAGGGCGTCGCACCGAGTGCTAAAGTGCTAAAGTGCTAAAGAGATCCCGTCCGTTCAAGGCGAACACCACAGGGAAAATGCCTTCTGAGGGAGCCGTCCTTCTGAGGACATCTCTACTTGCGTGGAGGCACGTCGACTGGCGGCAACACCGTCTTCCAGAAATTTGGAGCGTCAATGAGCAGTGCAAAGACACTTGAGTATGCTTCCTGAGTATCTCTGCCATATGCATACTGGGGCTATACTGTGGCTAAGATCAACCAGTGAGGAGCCGAAGGCTGAGAGTAAGAATTTACTGTTGGTGCAGATAAATGCTTTAGTTGACCTCAAAGCTAAGGCTCTGGGGTTTAAGGTTCGAAAGCACGCAGCTTGCGCGGCCTTCAGCAGCTGCTCGAAGTTAAGCTGCTGCTCCTGTCCCCGCGAAGAAGCGGTGAAACCGCCAAGTCGACTGATCCGATTCTCAACGAGATGGCAAGATACACAAGAACAAGATACGCCAGAACATCGGAAGGCCAGCACCAACATGGTAGTGTGATGCACCTGGGCACATTATACAAACGGTCAACAGACGAAGGGGAGATGAGCGCCCAATCGCCCTGTCCTGGAGCGTACGCTCGCGCAGCGCCTTCTCGGCCTTGCGGATCAGGCGACGTGTGATCTTCAACAGGCAGCACGGCGGCGCATGCCAAATGAGCTGTGCCTGGCCTCCAGGGCTTGCTCGTATTCGAGCCGCATCGCCTCGCAACTTTGACATAAACTTGGGCGCTTGAAGGAGGCGAACATCCTTGCGACCTCCCTGCCACATCCTGCCGCTGTCGCACCAGGAATCTGCACCTGAGAGCCAACAGCCCGCCTTGCGCGTCTGCTCGTGGGCGTCCGATCTCCTTGCGGCGCAAAGACAAGCAAGACTGGGACGGAGTGAGAGTGCTGAGGAGATTCCTCGAAGGTCGCACTAAAGCAATCAACGGGGCACACTCTTCCCTAAGCATCCCTAAGCAGAACCCTATACGGGGCGCGGTGCACACGCGCCATCCCCACGCCATACCCTAGAGGCGGGCAACTCCTCACCAGCTTACCGTCTACAGCAACCCCAGCCAAACACTCACACATGTGCTGGACCCTGCCCAGAAGCACAAAAGGGCGCAAGGCACGGATGCAAGACAAGCAGCCTGCAGCAGCCGCTGGACATGGAGGCTCTGGTCCTTCGGTGAGGATGACAAGCAAGGATCATGAAGAAGCCTGCACCTGAAACCTCACCCAAAGTTCGAGTATTCTTGGCAGTGGCACTGTGGCCAAGGCTCCGGTTCAGGGAAACTGCAGAGTTGTGGCTGGTTCGTAACATATCTTAACATGTCTGAGGGTCGTCATGTGCGCCCCGATACTTCTGCAGTCTTCTGCACAGCAAGGCACACGCTGTGAACACCCAAGACCGAAAAGATGAAAAAGCAGGCAGCTGCCGCGGCCTGCAGCAGCTTCTCGAAGTTCAGACGCTGCTCCTGCCGTGAACCGCTGTGAAATTAGCCGGGCAGCTGACCCGATTCTGTCAAGAACAACGCGGGCGTGGCAGGACCAGTCTGCTCAACTCGGGCCCAAGCCACAGGGAAGAAACACAGCCATGAGCCCAAAGAGCTCAAATTGGAATTTAAGCTTACGGTGCCATTGTGTCAGCAGGGCCGCGAGAAGCCCAAAGCGCCCTGTCCTGGAGCGCACGCTCTCGCAACGCCTTTTCTGCCTGCGAGACGCGCCGACGGCTTCAGATCTTCAGCACCACTCGGTGCCAAATGCCCTGCGCTGGCCTCCATGGCTTGATCGTATTCGAGGCGCATCTCCTGGCAATTCCGCGGCGTAAGCTTCTGACACTGGAAGCGAGAAATCCCCCCCAAAAGGCTACGCGCGCGGCTCGGGGGCGCTTGCAGTTTCTTACATTCAAGGAACGGAGAAGGACCACCTCGGGGCTACAAAGCTTGGTCTTCTGCAGTGCGAAGGCAACAAGACTGGGAGCGAAGGGGCACACTCTGAGCACAGGAAGGTCGGAGATGCTGACAATAGCCATGGCAACGAATCAAGGAGGCATGAAGGACAACAATCCAACGCAGGGTGGGCATGTGTCAGAACATGTCGGGACATGGGGCGCTTCTGTAAAAAGATTCCTGAACAAGTTCTAATCGAGCTGTAACTTCACGAAGGCCCAGTGTCGAAACTCGGGGAAGCTCCCACGCCAGGTTTCT